GCTAAATTTTTTATAGTGAGATTACTTAGGTACTGGATAACTTTTAAAAAATCCATGTGCAATTAAATAATACCAAGGTGGGGATGCTTCTACTTTATTAGCACACTAAAATATAATTTGTCAGCAGTGATATATGTTTGAACATAAAATTGGGTCAAATAAGAATAAAAAACGTATGGAAAAAAACTCAATGTCCTGATTTCAGCCTAACAGTTTTAGGCTGAAAAACATTCCATAAGAATTTCTAAAAAGTAGGCAGGAGGCACCTGCTCATTTGCATCTACCTACGAAGGTAATGACATCTCCATAAACACTTACTCTTAAATTCACAGAGCGGGGTTCTTATCTGTCTCCAGAGACAGCCTTTGCCAAAGAACCAAGTAGCAAGAAAGAACTACAGACTCCTGGGTTCACTGCAGTTCACTCGGGCCCTTGACCTGCTCCAGTGACATTCACAACAGGCAGGACTATGATCCCTATAAAAGCGTCCTCAGTCCCTTCTGCTTTAGCAGAGGCATTTGCTAGTCTCATCTTCCTTCTCCCATGTTCTCTTAAGAAAAAGAAAAGCACATACCATAAAACATCAAAATAATGCAATGCAACAGGGGAAATATAACTGTTTTAAGCATAACTGATTTAAAACTTTGTTAAAAATAAGAATTTATACCAAAATACAACATTTATGTCCAGACATCACTCCATAAGTAATCAAAAGACAGTGACAGTCACTTTATACAGAAGGAAATAAAACGAATCATAATGTGGGAAAACGGAAATTTTTAAGAAGTTTTAAATAGAGGGTTGTCACAAGTCATATCTGAAAAGGAGACAGATCATAAAATAGGATAAAATTTATTTTATTTCTATTTATGTATTTATTTATGTATGTATTTATTTATTTATTTTGAGACAGAGTCTTGCTCTGTTGCCTGGGCTGGAATACAGTGGCACAATCTTCACTCACTGCAACCTCCACCTCCCAGGTTCAAGGAGTTCTCCTGCCTAAGCCTCCCAAGTAGCTGGGATTACAGGTGGCCACTACCATACCCAGCTAATTTTTGTATTTTTAGTAGAAACAGGGTTTCACTATGTTGGCCAGGCTGGTCTCAAACTCCTGACCTGATGATCTGTCCACCTCAGCCTCCAAAAGTGCTGGGATTACAGGTGTGAGCCATGACATACTTTGCAAACACAACAAATCCAAATGACAGTACCCAGTATTAACTAGGATATGGGGAATGGGCACACTATGCACTCCTGGATGCGGTACAAGTATTGGAACCTTATTGGGGATTCGTCTACCCCAGTTTAGAAGGCATGGATCAATCTAATAATTCTATTATTTGTAAATAAGCCAAGAGAGAAATATTATTTTTATAAAAATGTGAAAGACAAAGAAAACCTAAATGCTCAACAATATTAATTTATGGATAACACCATCACTATGGAAAAATACATAGCTATTGAAAATGACAAGTAAACTATAGGTAACAATGTAAGAAAAGTAAAACCCAAAATACTATGTAAATACCATTTATAGATCTATAAAAACACATATATAAATTAATGAAATTCTTTATAGTTATCAAAAATAATGACGTAGGCCAGGTGCAGTGGCTCACATCTGTAATCCCAGCACTTTGGGAGGCTAAGGCGGACAGATCACCTGAGATCAGGGGTTCAGCTCTAGCCTGCCCAATATGGTGAAATCCCGTCTCTACTAAAAATACATAAAAATTAGCTGGGTGTGTTGGCAGGCACCCGTAATTCCATCTATTTAGGAGGCTGAGGCAGGAGAATCGCTTGATCCTGGGAGGCAGAGGTTGCAGTGAGTTGAGGTTGTGTCACTACACTCCAGCCTGGGTAACACAGATAGACTTTCTCTCAAAAAAAATAAAAATGATGTAGATTTATGCTTTTAGAAATGACAGCATAGGCAAGTCATGGTGGCTCATGCCTATAATCCCAGAACTTTGGGAAGCCAAGGTGGGAGGATCGCTTGTATCCAGAAGTTAAGAGATCAGCCTAGGCAACATAGTGAAATTCCATCTCTATTAAAAAAAAAAAAAAATTAGCTGGGCATGGTGCATGCCTGTAGTTCCAGCTACTGCGAAACTTAGGCAGGAGAACTGCTTGAACCCAGGAGGTCAAGGCTGCACTGAGCCATGATCACATCACTACACTCCGTAGGAGTGACAGAGTCAGATATTGTCTCAAAAAATATATAAAAAATAAAATTAAATTTAAAAAATTTGGCCAGGCGCAGTGGCTCATGCTTGTAATCCCAGAACTCTGGGAGGCCGATGCGGGTGGATCACGAGGTCAGGAGATTGACACCAGCATGACCAACATGGTGAAACCCTGTCTCTACTAAAAATACAAAAATTAGCTGGGCATGGTGGCCCACACCTGTAATCCCTCTACTCAGGAGGCTGAGGAAGGAGAATTGCCTGAACCTGGGAGGCGGAGGTTGCAGTGAGCCAAGATCGTGCCACTGCACTCCAGCCTGGGCAACAGAGTGAGACTTCATCTCAAAAAAAAAAAAAAAAAAATTTAAATAATATAACAGTAACATATAATGTGGAAAGTTAGTAACAGAAAAAAAAATGTATGTGATGCTATGTAAAAATTCCATATCTATTCTTCTATCTACAGAGAAATATCAAGAAATATGTTCACCAAAATATAAATAAAGGTTATCTCAGGACTATGTGAATTGGGGATGCTTTTTACAAGTTAAAATTATGAAGCTATTTTCATTTTGAGAAAGAAAAAAAGCAGAAATGTGTAACAGCAAAGATTAGAAGAGAATTTTCTAAGTTTTCAGTGTTCTCTCTCTCTCTTACACACACAGGCGGATTCTCTTATGCTGACAACCCTAACATCACTAGATAGCTATAAGTGAAAGACTATTTGTGAGAATTGGTGCCACTGGGTAGCAGGTCCTAACCTCTCTCACCAGCTCAAGTCTTATGTCACTTAAGACACACCGCAAGGCAAAAGTACTACAGAACAGTTTCCTCCTAGAATCTCATGATTCTAGCACGGGGTCACAGACTTTTTCTGTAAAGGGTCAGACAGCTAAATGTTTTAGGCTTTGTAGGCCATCTGTTCAGAACTCCTCACCTCTGTCATTTCTCTATCAAAGTAGCTATAAACACTACTTAAACAAGTGAGTATGGCTATGTTCCAAAAAGACCTTTATTTATAAATAATGAAATTTGACTTTCATATAATTTTCACATCACTAAATATTCATTTCAAAAATTCTTTCCAGGTTCATCTATGCTGACAGAAAAGCAGAAGATCAAACACCGCATGTTCTCACTCATAGGTGGGTGTTGAACAATGAGAACACATGGACACAGGGAGGGGAGCACTACACACTGGGGTCAGTTGGGGGGAAACAGGGGAGGGACAGTGAGGGGTGGGGAGCTGGGGAGAGATAGCAAGGGGAGAAATGCCAGATGTAGGTGATGGGGAGGAAGGCAGCAAATCACACTGCCACGTGTGTTCCTATGCAACAATTTTGCATGTTCTTCACATGTACCCCAAAACCTAAAATGCAATAAAATAAATAAATGGGAAAAAAAAATTCTTTCCAATCATTTAAAAATGTAAAAACCAAAAATTAAAAAAAGTTAAATAGTTATCATATACTCACAAAGTTAAACAGTTATCATATACAAAAAGTTAAACAGTTATTATATACTCCATTCCTACACATAAACACAGGAGAACTGAAAACAAATATATAACAATTTGTATATAAACATTCATAGCAGCATTATTTATAACATCCAAAAAGTAGAAATGTGTTAGTCCATTTTCTGCTGCTTATAACAGAATACCTGAAACTAGGTAATTTGTTTTTAAAACACTATTTATTTCCTACTGTTATGGAGGCTGAGAAGTCCAAGGTTGAGGGGCTGTGTCTGGTGAGAGCCTTCTTGCTGGTAAGGACTCAGCTGAGTATCCAGGTGACACAGGGCATCACATAGTGAGGGTGCTGAGCATGTTAGCTCAGGTCTCTCATCCTCGTTTTATAAAGCCACCAGTTTCACCCCCATGATAACCCATCAATCCTTTAATCCATGAATAGATCAACCCATTCATAATGGTAGAGCCCTCATTACCCAATCCATATGGAAGAATAGTATTCAAGCACAAAAAGGAATTCAGATCTGCTACACGCTACAACATGGCTGAACCCTGAAAACATTATGCTAAGTAAAAGAAACCAGACATAAAAGGCCACATATTGTAGGCTTCTATTTATATGAAATGTCTAGAATAAGAAAATCAATAGACAGAATTAGTGGTGGTCAGAGCCTGGAAGGGGAAGGAACGGGAAATGATTGTTAATAAATATAAAAATTCTTTTTGGAGTAAAGAAAATGTTCTGGAATTAGTGGTGATGGCTGCTCAATCTTATGAACATACTAAAACCAATGAAGTGTACATTTGAAAATGAGGAATTGTATGATACATAATTTTGATAACAATAAAAAATGTGGAAACCATTCCTAGTTTGCAGGCCATACAGCAATGAACTACAGGCTGGATTTAGCTGGGGACTATAGTTTACCCACCCTGTTCTAGCATCTAACAGGGAAAATATCTTTGGGTTTTATACACACACACACACACACACACACACACACACACACACAGAGCAAATTAGAACACAGCCAAAGGCCAAAACTTGAAATCAGCTAAGCCAGAACTGAAAAATTATTTAACAATTAAAGTTATTTAAAAATAGAAAGATAAGGAGCCTGTTTAAGTTATGCTCCCTGCCACCAAACACCGTAAAATTATTTTTCTGAAAATAGACAAAATTTAATAGATTGGCAGAAAAAAGGCATGTGTTATATAGACTTACAGGTATTGAAGTTACATGTTATTTTAAACCAGCTTGTAAGTACAGTCCCCATTTTGTCAGGCCAAGTTTATTTTAAAATTAAGCTAATTTAGAAATGTATTTATTGGCACATTACCTGGAGGAACTAGCTGTATTAATTCAAACCTGGTTAGGGAGCCTAAAAAGGAAAATATGAGATTTTAATACTTCCAAAAATCGCCACAGTTTTTCAATAATTGTTAAGTTTTAAACTGTCATAAAATCCATTTAATAATAACAATAATAAGAACAGTAATTAAAAATAACTACCATATCAACATCAAATCAGGTATTTCTAGAATTAATCAATCAAGATCAGGAGAGTGGAATGAGAGTAACAGAGTTATAAAAATAGCATTCCAGGCCAGGTGCCTGTATCCCACCACTTTGGGAGGCCGAAGCGGGTGGATCACGAGGTCAGGAGATCAAGACCATCCTGGCTAACATGGTGAAACCCCATCTCTACTAAAAATACAAAAAATTAGTGGGGCGTGGTGGCACGCGCCTGTAGTCCCAGCTACTTGAGGGGCTGAGGCAAAAGAATCACTTGAACCCGGAAGGTGGAGGTTGCAGTGAGCCAAGATCACAGTCACTGAACTCCAGCTTGGGCAACAAAGTGAGACTTCATCTCAAAAAAAAAAAAAAGTTTCGCAAGCCATAAAAAAAGAACAAGATCATGTCTTTTGAAGGATCTGGAGGCCATCAAACTAATGCAGAAACAGAAAACCAAGTACAGCGTAATCTCACTTATAAGTAGGCATTAAATGATGAGAATTCATGGACACACAAAAAGGAGCAATACACACTGGGGCCTACCTGAGGGTGGAGGGTGGGAGAAGAAAAGCTATCAGAAAAAAATAACTATTAGATACTAGACTTAATACTTGAGTGACAATCTGTACAACAAACCCCCATGACACGAGTTCACCTATATAACAAACCTGTACATATACCCCAAACCTAAAAGTTAAAAAAAAAAAACAAAAAACAGCGTTTCACCTCCTGAAAAGTGTTGGGAAAAAAAAAAAACATGCAATATTTTGTCTCCCAAAAGTGTATACAATAAATAAATAAGTGTATACATAGAGCTTTAAAATAACAATGCACTTTTCATCTTAAAAATTCAAAATCCATTTGTTATCCATTAACATACAAAAGTTTATCTTGCTTAAAAGTGTGCAATATGGCTATAAAAATTAGATATAAAATACAACTTTTTAAACTTTTCTTGAGTTCAAAATATTTTAGAAATAGTGAGCCTATGTACAATGACAAGAATAAAACTAAAATAAAGACAAGAATAAAATTCAGATCTTTAAGATAACAAAACAAATGATACATTAGGTTGGTACAATTATAAAATTTAAAAATCAACAAAGATAATTCTCACAAAATAACATAACAAGTGAAAACATTTTAGTTTTTTTGTTTTGTTTTGTTTTTTGAGCCAAGGTCTCGCTTTGTCACCTAGGGTGGAGTGCAGTGGTGCGATTCTGGGTCACTGCAACCTCCACTTTCTGGCTTCAAGCGATTCTTCCGCCTCAGCCCCCCAAGTAGCTTGAACTACAGGTGCGTGCCACCACGCCCAGTTAATTTTTTGTATTTTTAATAGTGATAGGGTTTCACCATGTTGGCCAAGCTGGTCTCAAACTCATGACCTCACGTGATCTGCCCACCTTAGCCTCCCAAAGTGTTGGGATTACAGGCGTAAGCCACTGTGCCCAGCCGTGAAAACATTTTAAATAGACAACAAAAGTAAAATTTTAACTTTGTAGATTTATGAAAAAGTTTTGAATTTATAGGACAAAACTTTAAATGCCAAGAAACTTAAAAGACAAGACAGCCTGAAACTTTAGGCTTTCAAAATGAGAGGAGGGAATATATATTTGCCAAACATCACCCCAGTGGTAATTTAAGCACCTCATTTGTTTCAGGCTCTAAATTCTTTTTTTTTTTTAATGTGTTTATTTCCACAGGTTGTTGGGGAACAGATAGTGTTTGATTACTTGAGTAAGTTCTTTAGTGGTGATTTGTGAGATTTTGGTGCAGCCATCACCTGAACAGTAGATACTGCCACCTATTTGTAGTGTTTTATCCCTCACTCCCTTCCCACCCCTTCCCCCTAAGTCCCCAAAGTCCATTGTGTCATTCTTGTGCCTTTGCATCCTCATAACTTAGCTCCCACTTATGAGTAAGAATATATGATGTTTGGTTTTCCATTTCTGAGTTACTTCACGTGGAATAATAGTCTTCAATTTCATCCAGGTCATTGCTAATGTCATTAATTCACTCCTTTCAATGGTTGAGTAGTATTCCATCATATCATATATATGACAGAATATATATATATATGTATGATAAATATATATATCACAGTTTCTTTATCCACTCATTGATTGATGGGCTTTGAGTTGGTTCCATGTTTTTGCAATTGCAAATTGTGCTGCTATAAACAAGCATGTGTAAGTATTTTTTTAATAAAATGACTTCCTCTGGGTAGACAGATACCCATTAGTGGGATTGCTGGATCAAATAGTAGTTTTACTTTTAGTTCTTTAAGGAATCTCTACACTGTTTTCTGTAGTAGTTGTACTAGTTTACATTCCCATCAGCGGTGTAGAACTGTTATCTGTTCACTGCATCCACACCAACATCTACTATTTCTTAATTTTTTTATTATGGTCAGGCTCTAAATTCTATATAGTCAATTAATTCTCGACATAACTCTATGAGTCCAAAGCAAGGGATAGCCTCATTTTTATGAATGAAGAAACTAAATCTCAAAGAGGAAACTATAGTAATGTAGGCAAGGTCACACCGGCTAACAGTGACAGGGCTGTATGTGAACCCAAGTAGTCTGCTCTCAGGGCCTGTCCTCTTATCCACAAGATGCTTCATTGAAAAATCCTATTCTTCCACAGAGCGAGTTAATTAGGATGCTTGATAAAATAACTACACCTTTTAATTGCCTTCTGGAATGGCATAACATAATTTATACTTGCTTTAAATATCAAGGACAAAGGAAATCACTTATAAGTGACCTAGAGAACTGTTCTTATGTTCTTTTATGCTTCAGTCCACCTCTCAGGGTTAATATTGGGAAATGAAATGAAAATATCCCAATTCTTATACGATCATTTAAAATGCTGAATTTTTCTTCTGGATTTAAAGAGGCTTGAGAGAATCAGTGTTCTTACAGATGTGACCCATCTCAGAGAGATATTTCACTTTCCTGCTTTTTAAGCTTCAGGAAGAAACATAAATGCAGTAAATCAACTGGGTATTGTATCCACTTTTTAAAAGGCCAAATGCCAAAGGCATCATTTTTTTATACCCAGTTGCCTTGATGGCTTCCTGAGACACATACTTGCTCAGTGACTTCCCTAACCCATGCTACCTCTGTAGGCACTGACTTACTCTTTACCTAATTTCAAACTCTTTAATCTACCTGGTATGTCAGCCTGAGGCATGGTCTGCTACCATTCTGACTTCTACCCAGGATGGCCTCAGCTCACTTGGTACTCGATTACATGAGTAAGTTCTCTAGTCCTTTCCCTAGATTCTGGTCCTTTCCCTAGATTCTGCTATTATTTGTGACCTTGATCCAATTCTTTCAACTGAATAACATCTCAGGTGCAAATTTCATAAAGCTTGAAAATGTGATTAAAAGTCACACCATCCACAAACCTTTCACCTAAAGACACTGGGAAAACAAAAGGGCAAACTAAACCTAAAGCAAACAGAGGAAAGATAATAATAAAGATTAAGCAAAAAGTAATGAAATAGAAAACAGAAGACCAATAGAAAATCAATAAATCTAAAAGTCGGTTCTTTAAAATGATCAATAAAACTGACAAACCTTTAGCTAGACTCACTAAGAAAAAACAGAAAAGACTCAAATTACTAAAATCATAAATGAAAGGACAGACATTACCACTGATTTTACAGAAATAATTTTTTTGTTTGTTTGTTTGTTTTTGAGACAGAGTCTTGCTCTGTTGCCCAGGCTAGAATGCACTGGCACGATCTCAGCTCACTGCCACCTCTGCTGCTGGAGCTCAAGCAATTTTTCCACCTCACCCTCCCAAGCAGCTAGGATTACAGGCAATCACCACCAAACCTGGCTAATTTATGGGGGGGTGTGTCTATATTTTTGGTAGAGACGGGGTTTCACCATATTGGCCAGGCTGGTCTGAATCTCCTGAGCTCAAGTGATCCCCACACTTTGGTCTTCCAAAGTCCGGGGATTACAGGCGTGAGCTACCGTGCCTGGCCTAGAAATAATTTTTTTCTTTTTTTTTTTTTTTTTTTTTGAGACAGAGTCCTGCTCTGTCACCCAGGCTGGGGTGCAGCGATACGACCATAGCTCACTGCAGCCTTAACCTCCCTAACTCAAGTGATCCTCCCACCTTCAGCCTCCTGAGGAGTGAACACCACAGGCACATGCCACCACACCCCACTAATTTTTGTTGTTGTTGTTGTATGGACAGGGTCTCCAAAAAAATAGTTTTAAGGGAATACTGTGAACAACTTTATGCCAATAAATTAGATAAATGAAATGGAAAAACTCCTAGAAAGACACAAACTAATAAAACTAACTCCAGAAGAATCAGAAAATCTGAAGAGACCTATAATGTGTAGGAAGAAATTAGTAATCAGAAAACAACCCAAAGACAAACCCAGGTCCAGGTGGCTTCACTAGTAAATACTACCTTAATAATTAGTACCAATTATTCATAAACCCTTCCAAAAAATAGAAGAGGGCAGAACATACCAAAACGGATTCCACAAGGTTAGCAGTACCAAAATCAGATAAAGCCATCATAAGAAAACAAAACTACAGACCAATATCTCTTACGATTTTAAGTCCCAAAATCATCAACATAATACTAGCAAGCAAATCCAGCAACATATAGAAAGGATTATATACCATAAGGTTGGCTTAATATCTAAAAATCACATATCAATAAAATAAAGGATAAAATCACATGATTGGGCTCAGTGACTCATGCCCATAATCCCAGCACTTTGGAAGGTTGAGGTGGGAGAATCACTTGAGGTCAGGTGTCCAAGACTAGCCTGGCCAATATGGTGAAACCCATCTCTACTAAATATACAAAAATTAGGCGGGCATCATGGCAGGTGCCTGTAATTCAAGCTACTCGGGAAGCTGAGGCAGGAGAATCGCTTAAACCAGGGAGGTGGAAGTTGCAGTGAGCCAAGATGGCACCATTGCAGTCCAGCCTGGGCGACAAGAATGAGACTCCATCTCAAAAAAAATAATAATAACATAGATCATCTCAATAGATGTAGAAAAGGCATGTGATAAAATTCAACATTCATTCATGATAAAATCTCAGTAAACTAGGAATAAAGAGGAGCTTCCTCAACCTGATATAGAGCACTTATGAAAAACCATAATTTAATCTTACAACTAATGGTGAAAAACTGAATGCTTTTTCCCTACTATCAGGAAATAAATAAGGATGCTCACTTTCACTGCTTCTATTCAATACTGTACTGGAGATTCTAGCCAGGGAAATTAGACATGAAAATGAAATAAAATGCATACAAACTATAAAAGAAGTAGTAAACTATTTCTATTTGCAGATGACATAATTTTGTATATAGACAATCCTACGGAATCAAGAAAAAAACTACTAAAACTAATAAACGAGTCCAGTAAGTTTTCAGGATAAAATATTAGTATATAAAACTCAATTGCATTTCTATATACTTGAACAAATCTGAGACTGAAATTTTTTAAAATTCCATTTACGACTGCTTCAGAGTACGAAGGAATAAATTTAACCAAAAAATACAACACTTGTAAACTGAAAATTACAAAACATTATTGAAATAAATTTAAAATAACCTAAATAAATGGAAATACCTCCCACATTCATGACTGGAAAAGTTAATATTGCTAAGGTGGAAATAATCCCCAAATTGATATACAGTCAATGGAATCCCTATCAGCATCCCAGCTGGCTTCTTTGCAGACATTGACAAACTATTTCAAAAATTCTTATGGAAACTCTAATGACCCAAAATAGCAGTTCTGAAAAAGAAAAACTAAGCTGGAAGATTTACCCTTCCTGGTTTTGAGATTTATTCTAATGCTAGGCCAGGCACAGTGGCTCATGCCTGTAATCCCAGCACTCTGGGAGGCAAGGTGGGCAGATCATGAGGTCAGGAGTTTGAGACCAGCCTGGCCAATACAGTGAAACCCCATCTCTACTAAAAATACAAAAGTTAGCTGGGCTTGGTGGCACACGCCTGTAGTCTCAGCTACTCGGGAGGCTGAGGGAGAAGAATCATTTCAATCCAGGAGGCAGAAGTTGCCGTGATCCAAGATCGCGCCACTGCACTCCAGCCTGGGCAACAGAGCGAGACTCTGTCTCAAAAAAAAAAAAAAAAGGAATCTATTACAAAGCCATGGTAATCAGGATTGTGTGTTGGATAATGATAGACATATGAATCAGTGGAATAAAACTGAGAGCCTAAAAGTAAATCCTCACATTACTGTAAGCTGATTTTCATCAAGGGTGCCAAGACAATTCAACGAGGGAAAGAATGGTCTTTTATCAAATCATATGGAGCTAACATAAATGGATTTCCATATGCAAAAGAATGAAGTTGGTCCCCAACCTCACACTGTCTACAAAAATCAACACAGTATAAACCATAGTGCTAAATGTAAGGGCCAAAACCATAAAACTGTTAGAAGAAAACATAGATGTAAGTCTTCATAACATTGAGGTAGGCAATGGTTTCTTAGACATGACACCAAAACCACAAGCAACAAAGAAAAAACAGATAAACTGAAATTCATCACAATTTAAAACTTTTGCATTTCAAAAAATACCACAAGAAAGTGAAAGACAAGTCTAGAATGAGAGAAAATATTTGCAAATCATACATGTGACAAAGGTCTTGTATCTAGAATATATAAAGAATATTTACAGGGCAGGCATGGTGGCTCATATCTGTAACCCCAACATTTTGGGAAGCCCAGAAGGGAGGATCACTTAAGACCAGGAGTTCAAGACAAGCTGGGCAACATAGTGACATCCTGTCTAAATAAAATATAAAAACAAAACAAAATATAAAAAACAAACAAAAATTAGCTGGGCATGGTGATGTGTACCTACAGTCCCAGCTACTTCAGAAGCTGAGATGGGAGGACTGCTTGAGCCCAGGAAGTCGAGGCTCCAATAAGCTATCATCATGCCACTGCACACTCCAGGCTGGGTGACAGAGGGAGACCCTGTCTCAAAATAAACAAAAAAATAAATAAAGACAAATGATCCCATTAAAAAGTAGACAAAGGATCTGAATAGACATTTCCCCCCAAAAAAATATACAAATGGTCAATTATCTCAGGAAAAAATGTTCAACATCATTAGCCATCAGAGAAATGCAAATCAAAACAATGATGAGATACCATTTCACACTCACAAAGATGACTACCAATCAAAATGACAGACAATAACAAGTGTTGGCTGGGATATGGGAAAATGGAACCCTCATACATTGCTGGTGAGATGTAAAATGATTCAGCTGCTTTGGTAAATAATGTGAAACTTTCTTAAAAGGTTAAACATACAGTTACCATGTTGAAATGGGAAAAGCTCCCTTTTCCCCCTGACAGGACATGCGATAAGGTCGTGGCTTGCTTCTTCAGTGCCCCACTGTTCAAATCTCTAGAGGAACATACAGAGGGGCAGGCTGTGGAGCTCCGACCCCACAGCAGTGTCTAGGGGTGAATGTTTATGGCTCCTGAAGCCCTAGTGGGCATGTGTTACAGGGTGCTCTTTCAGTTTGCCATCTATAGCTGGCTTGTGTTAGTCAGCTCAATTAGACCCCTACCTTGTCACAAGGACAGAGGGCTTTCTGTATCCCAGGGTTTCTTGCCTTGGTATACCAGAAGAATCGGATTACACATGGGGTTGGAGAATGAGCGCAAGACTTCATTGAATGGAAGTAGCTTTCAGCAGATGGGGGAGCTAGAAGAGAGATGGTTTTACCCTGGAGTTGGGCCACTTGGCAGCCCCAGCTCTCCTCAAGCTGCCTCGGCCAAACTCCATGTTGTTCTGCAAGGCCGAGGCACTCCTCTGGATGTCCAGTCACTTCTGTCTCTGACTTGCCAGGGTCTTGGGTTTTTATAGGCACAAGATGGGGGCATGGTAGGCCAGGATGCTCTTGGGAAATGCAACATGTGAGCACACCTGTCCTCACCTAGGTCCGTGGGGATGGAGTCCTAGCCAGGGACCACAGCCTTCCTCTACCCAGCACTCCTCTTCCCTCTTCGTTATCACTTAAAGGTACCACGCTCTTCCCTCCCCAGCACTCCTGTATCCATATGACCCAGCAATTTCACTCCTAGGTATACCCAAGAGGCATTAAAACATATGTTCACATAAAAATTTATATAAAAATATTCACAGCATCATTATTTATCATAGCCTAAAAGTGGAAACAATGCAAATGTCCATCAACTGATGACTAGAAAAACAAAATGTGATATATTTCTCCAACAGAATACTATTTGGCTATAAAAAATTAAGTTTGCACATGCTATAATGTGGATGAGCCTTGAAAACATTACACTAAGAAGTCAATTACAAAGGAGCACAAGTTGTATAACCTCATTTATATGAAATACCCATAATAAGCAAATCTATAGAGACAGAAAGATTAGTGATTGCCTAACAGCTGGGAGGGTTGGTAGGGAACAGCGAGTAACTACTAATGGGCATAGGGCTGCCTTTTGTAATGATAAAAATATTTTAATTAAATGAAATACACAAAAACAATTTTTATAAACAATGAAACAGAATCATACCATTCATCAAAGCCATCTACATTTAGAAAAGGGTATGTGACAGAATCAAAAACATGATTCAAATTGTATATAGACTGTCTTGAATGTAAATATTTATGAAACATGAATATATCAGTTTAGAAAAGAGCAGAATTTTAAAACTGTGAATTACACACAATAGTCTTTTGGTTTTCTGTTTTGTTCAGAATACCTACTTTCCAAAATGTCTGCTACAGCTCCAGGATCTACTGCATTTTCAAATACCTGCAGAGGAAAATGGGGAAAATTAATTTGTCTTAATAAGTGCATATGGAAACTGTAAATGCCAGGTGCAGTAGCTCACATCTGTAATCCTAGCACTTTGGGAGGCCAAGGTGGGTGGACTGCTTATTAAGCTCAGGAATTTGAGACCAGCCTGGGCAACATAGTGAAACCCTCTCTCCACAAAAAATATCAAAGTTAGGTGGGCATGGTGGCTCGTGCGTGTATTCCCAGCTACTTGCGGGGCTGAGGCTGAAGGATCACTTAAGCCCAGGAGACAGAGGTTGCATTGAGCCAAGATCACATCACCACACTCCTGCATGTGAGAAAGAGTGAGACCATGTCTCAAAAAAAAAAATAAAAAAAGAAACTGTAAATTAGATTCTTCCAAATAATTAACATATATAAAATCCAGTCACATAACATTTTAGAATTCAACAGATGCACCTTTAGTAGGTTTCTGACTAAAAGTTCAACAGGTGATGATGGAATAAATGAAGGATAACTAACACAACAACAAGAAGTGTGGGAAAATCTCAATTAGCTAAGTCTACCACATGCTAAAAATGTTATTAACTTGACCTAGCTCTGCTGTTTGTTGCTAAAAGCACATCCTGAATCAACCTCAAAGAGTCTTGTTTGACCACCCAGAAAAACATTCTGTATATAACAGATACTCATTTAATGTTAACTCAATGAATGGTTGATCTTCCCAGGCAATTGGTTGTGCTAAAAAGGAACATAAAAAGAAATTTTACCTATGTGTAACACAAAAGCTAGTACTAGCAGCTACACTCCCACAGAGTAAAAAAGAAAGAAAAGTCTCATAAGTTTTAAGTGTATCTTGAAGCACAAGAAAAACATTGTACTATCTGTCTAGCCACTGCCAAATCTTTATATTTTGCTCTTGAAATAAAAGGGCCTGGGATAGGATTGAAATAAAGGTACACCATGTCCTTCCCCCTAAACTCTAGAACCCTAAGAAAAATAAAACATTTTCAGCAGAGTTTGATTTCAGGATTTAAAGTTCTGATTTAAATGGTGTTTAAACTTAAACAAAAATGAAAATGTCTCATATAATCCAGTTTTGTCCTACTGACTTGAATTTATCAAGCAAATGTGGGTAAGTGGGGTTTTTTGCCTAAAATATTTTTAATAATCCTTTCATTTCACCCATTGTTATGGGTTGAATTGTGTCCCCCCCAAAATTCATAGGTTGAATTATTAAAACCCAGTATCTCAGAATATGACCTTGGTTTGCAAAAAGGGTCACTGCAAATAAAATTACTTAAGTTAGAATGAGGTCATACCAGGATAGGGTGGGCCTCTAATCTGATATGACTGGTGTCCTTTTGAAAGGCAAAAATTTGAGCACAGAAACTGTTTAAAAAAAAAGAGAGGCCGGGCGCGGTGGCTCAAGCCTGTAATCCCAGCACTTTGGGAGGCCGAGG